TTCCAGCAGTCGTTCAGTTGATTCCAGCAGTCATTCAGTTGATTCCAACAGTCACTCGACTGATTACAGCAGTTGTTCAGCTGATTCCAGCAGTCGTTCAGCTGATTCTAGCAGTCATTCGACTGATTTCAGCAGTCATTCAGCTGTCAACGTTATCAGTTTTCCAACATGTGATTGTTTTGGCAGAAATAATAAAATGTTCCTTAATGACTCAGGCTGCACTGCTAAAACTATTTGCTGCCGATTTGTTTTAAGATGCGAAAGATCCACTTTGGGCCGGTACAGGTTGAATCACTTCATTTTCCATTTCCACAGTGCCCATTAGTGCCCCTTGAGTGGGCGGATCATTATCAATGCACGACGCCTCTTTAAAAACCTTCTCGGTGTCGCTCCATCTAGCTCGCTCTGAACTTTTTTGTCGACCAGCAAACACAAAAACGTCTGAACTTCAGTGTTTGACCACAGTTGTGACATTATTGTTTGTTTATACCTACAAAATGCTCCAAAATACCCTCCTCCGGATTCGAGTTGTTTCTAATGTCGGGTTAAAAAGAAAATGGCAGATCGGGTTGCGGTGGAAGTTTCTGAAACTCCGCCCTCAATGATGCCGCCTCCTGACCAATCGGTAACCGACAGTGCGCTGACCTCTTAGGGTCCTGCTGGGCCTCAATGGAACCAGAGAAGTCGGTACTGAAAAAGCAGGCCTGTTCCAAGAAAAAGGCCCTGTGGAAAAGAACACGGAACCGACCTGAGCAGGGTAAAGCAGAGCCAAGGAGGAACTGTGGAAAGGGGGAGGGGGGAGGGGCTTCAGGTCTCTGAATACACCTGTCTGACCCAAACCCAGGCTGCAGTACAGAACCGAACTCATCAGGAGAAAATCCTCATCTGTCCATTCAGAAATAAACTCAAATTTCCCTAAACTGAAGTAATTCAAAGAACTATCTGCAGCAGGTAAGATATTAATTGTTCAGAACCTTTATTTTCCACCAACTCAACTTTAGAGTGCCCTGCAGTCAGTTCCTCGTGTTCCAGGAAGATGGTTCTGTAAACCCCCTGAGGGTTCTGCAGTCCTCTCCTGATGAGTTCGGTTCTGTCCTGCAGCCTGTGTTTGTGTCAGACAGGTGTGTTCAGAGACCTGAAGCCCCTCCCCCTTTCAAGTTGCGTAACTCTAAGAACGATTTGCTGTGACGTCACGAACCTCTCCGAAGCTGCTCAGGTGTGAAGCGGGTTCACGGAGCTCAACCTGCGGGAGTTCGTTCACCTCCTCACGCCTGAGACACGCGCGCACTGTGAGGTCACAGAGGGGGAGGGGAGGGGGAGAAAAGGCTCAGCCCGCGGCTCCGCAGCCAGAGAGGCTCTGGTCGGGTTCGGGTCCGGATCATCATGGCTCTGAGCGGGAAGGTGGCTCTGGTGACCGGAGGAGCTCAAGGCATCGGCAGAGCCGCGGTCCAGTCCCTGCTGCAGAGCTCAGCTAAGGTCGGTTCTGGTCCAAACTGTTCTGTTTCAGAGTTTAGGTTCTACAGAACCTCACGGACCTGCAGCCCAACTTGTGTCTGTCAGTTTGTGCGCTTTGGTTCTGGGTTCTGGTTTAACTCTGGGCTAAACATGCATCTGGGTTCTGTTCTGCTCCAATAGCTCAGGTTCTACAGAACCTCTGAAAGCAGCAGCTCGTCTGACATTTTATTCCTCTTCACATCTGGGTTCTGTTCTTGGTTCTGTTGTGCTCTACCAGCTCAGGTTCTGTAGAACCTCTCAGCTTGTTTCTGACAGTTTGTTTGGCTCAGGTTCTGTTTACCCTCAGATGTCAAACCAGACCGTGTCACAGATTAGAGTTACAGATTAACTTCAGGAGCAAACAGTTTGATTAAAATGTTTCAAAGTTGTTTTTCAGGAAGAGAGAAGTTCTGGTTGATGTTTGTCAGAACTTTGGTTTTGTTCACACGTCTGCAGAACTTAGGTCCCGTGTGGTGAAAGAAGAAGCAGACAAACCTAAAAGTTCTGTTTCCTTCCTGCTGCTGCTGAGATGCTGATGATTAGCTCATGACGACGGCACCATGTCTCAGAGCGTGTAAAGGTTCTGTTTGTGCTCCAGGTGGCCGTTTTGGACCTGAACAAGACCTGCGGAGAGCAGTGCAAGAACGAGCTGGACTCAGAGTTTGGAGAGGGAAACTGCACCTTCATCCAGTGTGACGTGTCCAACGGAGACGCTCTGAGAGGTGATGAGAGGCTTACATCACTTCCTGCCTGCACAGAACCAGCAGCAGGTTCTGTTTCACTCTGCGGTTCTGTTAAACCGGGTCGGGTTCAGCTGCTCTTTAAGTTCCTCCTGATGAAAAAGAGGAAGTGAGATGAAACTTGGTGACGCAAGAGCCTCTCCTCAGTCTTTCTGAGAGCAGCCTTTGGTTCTGGGTCCAACAAAGGCCCGGTTTGTCTGGTTCTGCTCTGCAGGTCAACGTTAAAGTACCTGAATTTAAATGCATGTAGTTGGGTTCAGCACGTGTTCCTCCCTGCAGAGGTGTGTCGACGAACAAGCTCTCATTGTTTGACACCAAGAAGAGAAACCCTGCAGGCGCACGCAGCTGGAATGTTGCTGCTGCTGCTGTGGACACACACAACACACACACACTGACACACTCTGAGCACCTGTGTAGATGTGTGTGAGTCTGTGTGTTGGAGTGTGTGTGCAGAAAGGTGAATTTAGTCATGATGATGTGCATGCAGCTCTGTGGACACTTCCACGCTTTCTGTTTGTAAATCTCCTCACTGCACATTTTAAAATGAAACCTGCAGTTTCTCCTGACTGACATCAAACGGCTTAAAGTTTTTTTTAGGATTCATTGATGTGCAATTATGAAACCAGCCACAAGGGTTACAAGACTGTATCTGTGGTTCTGGTCCCAGGGTTGTGTAAGGAAGGGCATTCAACATAAAACACTTTTGCCAAAATAAACATACAAGTTCATCCCAAAGACACTATACATGATGCTGAGAAGGAAGGTAGAGATCTAGCTAACATGATGCTGAGAAAGAAGGTAGAGATCTAGCTAACATGCTGCTGAAAAGGAAGGTAGAAATCAAGCTAACATGATGCTGAGAAGGAAGGTAGAAATCAAGCTAACATGATGCTGAGAAGGAAGGTAGAGATCTAGCTAACATGATGCTGAGAAGGAAGGTAGAGATCTAGCTAACATGATGCTGAGAAGGAAGGTAGAGATCTGGTTAACATGATACTGAGAAGGAAGGTAGATGTTTTATGTGTCCAAGAGACCAAGTGGAAGAGCAGCAAGACTCGCAGCATTGGAGCAGGGTTCAAACTGTTTTACCATGGTGTGGATAGAAAGAGAAATGGAGTAGAGATGGTCCTGAAGGAGGAGTTGGCAAAGAATGTAGTAGAGGGGAAAAGAGTGTCAGATAAGGTGATATACCTGAAGGTAGAAGTAGAAGGTCTGATGCTAAATGTTGTCAGTGGTTATGCTCCACAGGTTGGCTGTGATGTGGAGAAGAAAGATAAATTATGGAAGGATCTGGATGAAGTGATGGAGAGTATTCCCAGGGAGGAGAGAGTGGTGATCAGAGCAGACCTGAATGTTCTGAAAATGCCAGAGGAATAGAGAAGAAGTGTGCTGGTGGCCATTTTTAAGAAAAAGGGTGCTGTATAGAGTTGTAGCAGCTACAGGGTAATTAAATTGATGAGTCACACAATTAAGATCTGGGAGATTTGTGGAAGCTAGACTTGAACAAGAGGTGACTATCTGTGAGCAGCAGTATGGCTTCATGGCGAGAAAGCGCCACAGAAACAATCCTTGCTTTGAGGATGCTGATGGAGAAGTACAGAGAGGGTCAGAAAGAACTGAAACTGAAAAAAAGCAACTTCTGATGTGGAAACGCAATAAACTAAAGTGGAACTACCTCGGTGACCTCAGCTCTGGTTGTGGACCTCCAAGTTCCCTGACTCAGCTTCCTCCATGAGGACGTTGGTGGAACTGAGAAGGTCTGACTTGTTTTCTGTCAACCACTGGTTGACGTCAACAGCACTCCACCACTAAACACAGGGTTAGTAAAATGCTTCTTTCTCTGCTTCAGTCTGATGGCTTGCCAGATTCTGCCGAGAGTCTTTATCCAAGGTCTTGTCGAACTTCTCCCACATCTGAGATTTACCTCAGTAACAGCCAAGGCTACAGCCTGCTTGGCCCTCCAGTACTCCTCAGCTGACTCTGGAGTCCCACTAGCCAACAAGGCACGATAGGACTCCTTCTTCAGCTTGACAGCCTCCCTAACCACCGAGTTCGAGGATGGCCACCACGAGAAGCACCGACAACTTTGCGGCCACATCTCAAGGCAGAACATGGCCCACTCAGACTCAATGTCCCCCCACCTCAGCTGGGATGTAATTAAAGCTCTCCCGGAGGTGTGAGTTAAAGATCTTTCCGATGGGTTCTTCTGCCAGGCGTTCCCAGCAAACCCTCACTACACATTTGGGTCTTCCAGGTCTGTCCAACATTCCCCCCTGTCTGATCCAACTCACTATCAGGTGGTGATCAGTTGACAGCTCAGTTCCTCTCTTCACCCGACAAAACAAACGGCCGCAAGTCAGATGACGCAACTACAAAGTCAATCATTGATCTACGACCTATGATGTTCTGGTGCCAAGTGCACATACAGACACCGTTATGTTCCAACATGGTGTTCGTGATGGACAAACTGTGACGAGCACAGAAGTCCAACAGCGGAACACCACTCGAGTTCAGATCAGAGAGGCCGTTCCTCCCAATCGCACCCCTCCAGGTCACACCAAGTGGGCACTGAAGAAGTCCCCCCAGCAGAAAGGAGTCCTCAGCTGGAGCGCGTTCCAACACCCCCGCCAAGGACTCCAAGAAGGCCGGACACTGAGCTGGCAGAGAAACAACAGAACCAAAGCACATTACAACTTTCAAAGAGTCAGTGTTGTTAGTTTGACAGAACCAGTTTACCCGAGAACATACGGTGTGTTTTTATTGACCCGCCTCAGAGGCTGAGGTTCAGTCTTCATGGTGTTTGTCTTCATGCCTTCAACGTGCAGTCATTGGGTCGGAGGTTCTGGAATGCTGCGTGTGACGACACTCGCACCTTTCACCTCCTCAGGTTTCCTCCTTTAAGCTGTTTTGACAGACACGTCTGTCGGCTCACACAGGAGGTGAAACGAGCGTAACGAGCCGAAGATCTCTTGACTCTGTTTGGGCTGAGCCGACGTGCCCGCGGGCCGCTCCCAGACAGAACTCTAATGTTTTTTGTTCTGTCCTAAAGCAACAGAAAACGTTTTCACATGTTTGACTGTTTCTACACAGCCGGAGGATTTCACCAACGAATGTTCTGGTCACAGTCCGATGATGTCATCAACTCCCAGCTGCCTGAACTTTAATAAACTTTTTGCAAACAAACTTTTCATCTGTCCACCATCTTTACTCTCGTGCAGTTTACTTTTTCAGAGGGAGTCGCAGATGTCAGGAGTTCTGTTGGGTCTCCTCAACATTTCTGCAGAACGTTTCTTCATGCAATCAACTAATAGAATCCTCTGGGCTGCAGCTCCTCAGAAACCTCAGATCTGGGTCTTGGTGCTGCAGGATCTGAGCAGATGATCTTAGGCTCTGCTTTGGAAACAGCTGTAATCTGATTCTGTCCAGAAGGTCCTCCTCTGGGGTTCTGAACCACCATCGCTGTTTCAGACCTGCTGTTTTTGAGAATGCTTGTCTTCTGAAACCTGTGCCGGGTTCTGTTGGACTCGTTCTGCCGTCAGGTCGGACCTGCTCCTTTGGTCACATGACCTTCGTGCTTGCCGCAGTGTGCAGCAGAAGAGATTACAGTATCTGCGTTCACATCTGTACATACAGAGATTAGAAGACGTTTGAGGACTTCTTGTCTCAGTTTTTGTCCTGACAAGCTTTGGGGCAAAATGCAAGCAGGCACATTTTAAATAAATCACGTTTAACAAATAAAATCGTCAACGAGTTTTAAATACGTCACAAAAACTGTCAGGTTTGAACAAAAACTAATCCAGAAGAGAGAATCTAGAGTCCATTTCAATCTACGTACTTCAGACACATGTTTACCCAGAATGCACTGCAGCAGACAGCTCCTCCCAGCTGTCGGCACGGTGGTGGAGGCTAATGGTTTGGACTCCTGTCCGTCTCCGAGTGGACCAAAACTCCTCTGTAGACCAAATGTTCTGGAGTCACATGAGTCCATCTGTCCAACCGCTGAAGCTTGGACCAAACTGGGTCCAACAGGACCATGATCCCAAACACAACAGCTGATCTACAACAGAACGGGTCAGAAAGACCAGAACCAGGGTGCTGCAACGCTCAGTCAGAGTCCAGAACGGCATCATGATTGAGATGCTGTGGTGGACCTTCAGGGATCTGACAGAACCCTCAACGATGGAAAGAAGAGTGGGCCAGAACCATTAGAGACTGACAAAGTCCTACAGAGAACCACAGAGGGTTCTGCTGCTGAAGGAGGTCCTGGATCAAGACTAGAACCAGTCTTGTACTGATTCTGGGTTCTGTAGACCTGCTTAGGACCAGATGGTTATAAAAACCTTTGAAATGAAACGATGAACAACCACCTGGTTTTGCTGAAGGAACCACAAACGGTACCAACCAGTCAGACAGAACCGAGCGTGGGGAGACAACACGACAACGTTCAACTCAACCAAAAACCGTCTGACGTCGTTAAACAGAACCCACCAGAACCGGAGAGAATCAAACTGAAACCTGTGGTCCAGAACCGTCAGAGCTGTGGTCAGAGACTGTTGGTTCTGTTGGTTCCTGCTTCAGCGGAACCAGAGCGTGACGAAACAACATCGGTTTGAGAACTGAAACATGGGAAACAGGAGAAAAATGACTGAAATGTGCTCGTGTCTTCTGGTACCGGTTCTGTTGGAGTCAGTTTGTGTTTAAATAAATATTCAGCAGTTTTTATAAAAACATGAAGAAGTCTAGGTCCAGAACCCAGCAGGTTCTGGATCAGAACCACTTTTAGTTTTAGAGGAGGATTTAAACTTTGAAGCTGACTTTAATGTTTGTGGTTGTTCACGCTCCGATGCTGAAAAACTGTTTCTGGGTTAACTTTCAGCTCTGACTGGAAGAGCAGAGACTGTCGAGATCTGATCCAGAATCCAAGTCTTGAACCAGTTCTTGGTGTTTGTTTGTGTGGACAGATGCCTTCCAGAAGACCATAGACCAGTTTGGACGTCTGGACATCGTCATCAACAATGCCGGCATCAACAATGAGAAGAACTGGGAGAAGACCATTCAGGTGAACCTGGTAAGAGACCACCTGAGACCACCAGACCAGCTACAGACCTGGTTAACACCAGACCATAAGGACAGGTCTCAGAGTTGACCTTTGACCTCGCTGAGAACTGAAACCAACACTCTGAGAAACAGCTTCAGGTCTGACTCATCACATACTGAAGATGTTCACGTGTTCATCCACTTACACAGTTGTTCACGTGTTCATCCATTTACACAGTTGTTCACGTGTTCATCCATTTACACAGTTGTTCACGTGTTCATCCATTTACACAGTTGTTCACGTGTTCATCCATTTACACAGTTGTTCACGTGTTCATCCATTTACACAATCGATCACGTGTTCATCCATTTACACAGTTGTTCACGTGTTCATCCATTTACACGATTGTTCATGTGTTCATCCATTTACACGATCGATCACGTGTTAATCCAGTTACACGATTGTTCACGTGTTCATCTATTTACACGATTGTTCATGTGTTCTTCCATTTACACGATTGTTCATGTGTTCATCCATTTACACAATCGATCACGTGTTCATCCATTTACACGATTGTTCATGTGTTCATCCATTTACACGATCGATCACGTGTTAATCCATTTACACAATTGTTCACGTGTTCATCCATTTACACGATTGTTCACGTGTTAATCCAGTTACATGATTGTTCACGTGTTCATCCATTTACACGATCGATCACGTGTTAATCCAGTTA